AAAAAAGTATAAGTACACCCCTTAAGTCATAATATTTTTTTACCTACAAATATCTTAACTGGACATTTTTATTCAACATTCTTGACCTCTTTGAAGGAACAAAATTGAGTACGCTCCTGAAGCAGCATTTTTTTCTGATATCTCAAGATACGGACATTTTTGAATTCAATATTTTTGACAACCTAGAAAAAAAACATTAGTATATTTTTGAACCCATAAGAAAAAAACATGAGTAAGCCCTTGAAGTCATGATTTCATATCTTCCAAAAGATGAAATTCAGACTAGAAAGGAATTAGGAATTTATAACCTTATAAATATTTGACAGTGGAAGATGATGATAATTCTTTAAATTCGGTAATGGGGTGACTAAGGCACTATTGAAACCATTTTATTTTCAGAATCATGTTGGGTATTTTGAGTGAATTGATTATAAAGACATAAGTGAAAATGTGCGAAAAACATATTACCAGGGTTGGTAGGAATATTGGGTGATAGATATTTGCTAGCAAGTATCATTATCACTGAAAATTAAAAAAAAAAACATGAATGAATAAATCTATTCTGATGTTGTATTGTTATTTGGTCTGAGCACAGTTGAAAGAATATTAATTCTTCTAACTTTGGTCTGAGCACTCACTTGCAAATGTATGTTATTATCCCCACCATTCGCGATTTTATTCATTTGTCCGTGTTTGGCGTTTAAAATTGTTGGCGTATACTTTTTTCAATGATTTATGAATTGATAGCGTTGTTTATTTAGTCTGAGGTCCTAACCCAACATTTTCATTGTCACCCGATCGATGACTAGCATCATCTTCGCCGCCTTCTACATAGGTCTCGACAAGAACATTTCGTTGCACAAACACATTTAAAGAAATCCCGATCCATTAGATATTCAATATATCGGTTGGGAGGTCAACGTTTTCCCTGTGTGCACGCGATTTCTGGTGTTGCCACGAAAAAAATATATACAGGATACCCCAGAATGCACTCAACAGGCAATATTTCTACAAATAAAAGCTCCTCAAAGTCTATTTCTATTATTTTCAATACACAAAATAATCACCCTTTTTGAGAAATGAACCATAACTTTCCTCAATAAATAAACTTGGATATCGATTGATATTTTTTCCTGAAAGGTGTTTTTGAAATAAGTGCACATATTTACCGCATTAATATGATACACTACGAGGAATATTCCCATGATATCAGATGTTTTTATTATTCTCATAATTAACGACAAATTTCATCCCAAAAATTGTACAAAATACGAGAAAAAAATCAAGTACTCCACTTTAAAACAATTTAAGTGACTGAACTCCGCGTGATTGTGCCTACCGCATGGAAATTTGAACAGAGGTGACGACAGATTTGCTATCCCAAAATTTTTTTATTAGTGCCATTCGATAGTACACGTCGAGCTTCCTCAGTATTTGAAATATTTGCACTTATTTCAATGCCACCCTGTATATGTATGACAAATATCAATTCTCTGGCAATGATTCCGCGGAGTATCCCCACCATTCGCGATGTCATTCGTTTATCCGTGTTTAGCGTTTGGGATTGTTGGCGTATACTTTACAATAATTCAAGAATGAATCTCAATGTCTGTAGAAGAAAATTGTGAATTTATAACATTTTATACAGGGTGTTCCGATATTACATGGAAAGATTTCAACCACAGATTCTAGGAACAAAAATAGTAATAGTCATAGCCAACTGAAAGAGGGCCCGAGTTGGCGGCTTTTTGTGAGTATTTTCGAAACCCGCTTTTTTGAAATATCAAAATTTGTTGAGAATTTTCCGAAATTTTGATCAGGGGCATAGGAAATAGGTGGGGCTAGGGGCATTTCTTCCCTCAACTTTTTTTTGTATGCAATTTTCCCTTCTGAAATCTTTCTATTTAATTTCGGGACCTGTATATTGTTTTACTGTCGAAGATGACGTCATATTTCTTTAAAATTTGATAACTAGGTGAAATTGTTTTATTTTCAGTATCATGTGCGGTATCGTTTGAGAAGTCAATTTTCGAGGATTTAACAAATATCATTTCAAAAATTTTCCATGAATTCTTCATGAAGATATAAACTGGAAATGTGCGAAATTTCATTTGATCAGGGTTATAAGGAATATGGGCTAATAGATCTTTGCTAACCAGTATCCCAAGAACTAGGAAAATGCTGCTCCTCGACTTCTGCCCCAGTGAATTAAATAAACTTGAACTTGAACTTGGAAATAGAAAGAGAAAAAAAAAAAGTGTCATGAGGCAAACATTTCTTTAGAAATGGACGTCCTGGAATGGAAGCGGGATTTGGACGGTAGCCGCGTGCTGTTGATGGTCATCACCGACGACACCCGATCGATGACGAGCATCATTCTCGCCGCCTTCTACATGGGCCTCGACAAGGACGTGGTGCTGTGCGTGCAAAGTTTGCCCACGGAGGGGTGCGTCATCGGGAACGAGACGGTAAGAGGGTCGACATGAGGTTTTCTCTCTCTCTCTCTCTGTTTGTTTTACTTGGTTTCGTTTGTTTCTTCTCTTTTGTTTATTTCGTTCATTTCAGTATTTTTGTCCATTATGTACATTTAATTCATTTTGTTCATACCGTTTGTTTCGTTGATTTAATCCATCTCATTCCGTTCGTTTTGTTCATTTCGTTCATTCACTCTCTTCTGTTCATTTCTTCATTTTGTTCCTGTCATTTCATTAATTTTATTCATTTCACTCATCTTGTTAATTCACATTTTTTGTTCATTCCATTCATTTTGTTCCATTCATTTTGTTCCATTCATTTTGTTGAATTCATGAATTTTGTTCTCAACTTGCTTAGTTCTCCTTTTCATTTTTTTTCATTCGTTCATTCCGGTCATGTCCTTCATTTCATACATTTTGTTGCTCTCATTCTCATCTTTCATCTTGTTTATGTCATTAGATTCTGTTTCA